GTTTCCACAGCTACACAGGGAGGTGGCTTTGAAAACACATTGGCTATTAATTTCATAACTTACCTTTTCGTAACGTTCTAAAGAAAATTTTCACTTTTAAATTTTAAGTGAAATAATTTAATTTTGTTTTAAGAAAATGTAGATAATTTTACAATATTATTTGAGGTAACTGGAGACACGGAAAACATTTCAGAACTTGGATTAGTACGCACTGAAATAGGAACATGGCTGCGATGAGTGACACAGAGACGTGGTCTTAGATCTGCCACCTTTAGCTGTGAATACTTGTCATGTGCTACTAGATTTGGTGATAGCTTCACAATGGAGAAGGGTGGTCGCACCCTGTCGTTCCTTTAACCTCAACTTGAAGGCTGACAAGTTAGCTAGATAAGGAAGTCAGCGGCAAAGCCCTACTGCTCAGCTCTACCACACGCTAACAGTGTGACTGTGTACAAAACTAGCCTCTTTTTGCCTCAGTTTCTGGATCTCTAAAATGGGCATAAGAACGGTTCATTGCAAAAGGCTAGTTGTGAAGAGTCAATAATCTAATGCCCAGAACATTATCTGGCAGAAATTAGTGCTCGAAAAATATTAGCTGTTACTAATTTTTTACAAAGTATGAATAAAATGAGGAATGAACTCGAAAAGATTCTTGATTAGTTTATATTTGGAAGTGTATACTAGACACAGATAAAAGACCTCAGGAGTCAGGGAGAAGGCAGTCACATTTTATTTATGTTTGCTATTACTCATGTTGTGATATAGCTACACATTTTCTCAGAAAATAACCTTAATTCCTATAGTAAAGTACTTCTCAATTATTTAAATGATCTCCCCTCCAAGAAGAAAAATTAAGTTTAATTGTTTAATTGAGTTAATTTTAATTCAATTTAATGTTTCCCTATTGAGAAAAAGCAAATACTAAAGAATAAGATTTTGTTAGGTAGAACTGAGTTTTGGAGGTCCAAAAACCATTGTAATAGCTAGAATGTTTTTGCTCCCCAAAAACCAATTTTCAATCCCTTGTGGGCTCTGTTGCCCCACTGAGAACGTACATTATAGTAATGTATTATCTTTGCAGAGAGTTTCATTTTTAAACATAAAATTTTTATGATCACTTTAATTAAAACTAGCGCTAGATGGTGACAGTGCAAAAGAATTTACTCATTTGAAATTAAGGTCTTTCTCTTCCTAATAGATGCGAAGGGACTTACTGCATTGGGACAATGCCTTACAACTGGCAAAGCGTTTGGCCCCAGACCAAATACCATTTATATCGAAAGAATATGCTGTTCAGCTTGAAGTCATGTAAGTCCTTGTCTTTATATGATTCAATAAATATCTACTGAATTAATGATTACTGAATTAATTACTGAAATATCTTCAGTTATAAACTGCCATTTAATATAAGGCCCTCAATTGATTTAATAATTGCTTTTTGAGGGGAAAAACATTAATTATACATCCAAAACATGTTTTTTCTAACTAATGATGTCTTATCCATGCATTTACCCTCTTTCATTTTTAGCATCAAAATCTAAGTTTGGGTCTAAGCCTTTTCTACATTTAGAGCCTAAATATTGTTTTGAATCACATTTCCAACAACAGTTAGCGTAGCATCAGGGTGACATATTGCTTTTCATAACCTATGCTCATGATTTTGACCTCTTTGAACACTGAGGATTTACAGTGTAATTTCAAGGCATAGTGCAAAATACTGGGTTTTGGTCTACAATTTCTATTTGCTTACATTAGTAGTTTTTCTTTTTAAAATTGAATTGCATATGGGTAAAAATTTGACCGTTAATGTTGAAAATCATGCCAGAAGCTTTTCACGGGCCGATATTCAGCGCTTGAGTAATGATCCTTTACGATGCCTGAATAGGCTTCACAAATCTTCCCCACCTTTGGAAGTGCCATAACCTATTCTGAGAGATTTTGAATTTTCCAATGCCCTTAATTGCTAGACAATTTTAATTTATCAGTAGTCTTAATAGACAGGCTATACATTTTTATTTCAGTGCTCCATAAAAGTGTAATTTTAGAAGCATTCAGGATCCACTTTTAATTCATTCAGCCATGGTTAATGATACTAATGAAATACCTGCAGAGACAGTAAATGAATCATTTATTTGCAAATATAAGTTCACATGTGTACATGCAATGTCAACTACATCACACCTGGACAATTTATTTTGACATTTATTATACATTCCAACTGCAAAAATAGTAAATGTGGAACAATATTGTTTTTGAACAATAAAATATGGTTCTAACATTTGATTTTTTTTAAAGNTTTGAACACACTTATCTCATTGCTCTTGCCACTTTCTGAAGCAGTTCTGGAAATCCTCTTTTGTGAGTGTCTAGTTGCGCTGTTGTAGCTGCCTCGATGTCCTGAATCATTTTGACTTTGGGGAAGAGTCAGAAGTCGCACGGTGCCAGATCCGGTGAATAAAGTGGATGAGGACACACTGTAATGTTTTTGACAGAAAGTGCCCTATACCAGAAGTGATGTGTGACACAGAGCGTTGTCATGATGGAGGATGATTTACGGCACACTTTAAAAACACAACTTTTCTCAACCATAGCTCACACCTGACTGTCTGCACTGAACAAGTTGAAACTTGTCACACACTGTTACTAAGGTTTGACACGCTGCTTCCTGTGTTGAAGATACCTGCCTTTCCATTGGATGGCGCTTGGCAGCAGCATTCACGGTATTTTACGATCACAACAGAAAAGCTCTGTGCCACACATCACTTCTGGTATGGCAGTTTCTGTCGAATAAAAACATATGGTGTGTCCTCATTCACCTTATCCTCTGGATCTGGCACTGTGCAACTTCTGGCTCTTCCCCAAAGTCAAAATGACCATGTTTTAAACCAGAGGTTGGCAAATGGCACATGCTTTAGGCTTTAAGGACCACCGGGGTCTCTGTCACTACTACTCAAGTTGGCTGTTGTAGCACTAGAATAGCTGAGACATTCCAGAATGAATGAGCTGATGAGTAGCTACATTCAACTCAAACTATTTTCAGAAACAGGCAGCTGACGGGATTTGCCTCTTGGGCCATAGTTTGCTGACCCCTGATTTAAACTTCCAGATTTAAAGCAATAAGAGTATTAATTTCATCGACTTGTGTGAGAACAAAAATAATCTTTACCTTGTGTGAAGTGAACCAAAGATAAAGAAAGGAGGAAACAGGGAAGGAATAGAATTAGTT